CCCCATCCCTGGATGTGTTTAAGAATAGGGTGGATGATCTACTTAGCGATATGGTTTAATGGGGATTAGGGATGGTTGGACTCGATGATCTCTAAGGTCTTTTCCAACCTAGAAATCTATGAAATCTATGAAATCTATGAGTGTCCAGAACAACGGCGCCAAGGGAACGCTGGGTGGTGCAATAGCCAAGGAAAGTGATCGCACATGTAAAAGAAGATTGACAAGCGGATCCACTGGTTGTAATGAAGTTAGGGAAGGAACAAAAGGAAATGGAATTTTTAGTGGATACGCACGGGGGCAACATATTTGGTTTTAAATCAGGCCTTGATGCCTTTAGGAAATGATTACATTGTAGTAAAATGAGCAACTGGCCGGAGTGAAAAGGCTTACTTTTTTGAACCTTTAAAATATAAACTGGGTAAGCAAGTGGGCATTCATAAATTCTTGTATATGCCTAACTCCCTAAAAGCCCTTTTGGGAAGAGTTCTATTAGAACAATTGGGAGCCACGATAAAATTCAAAAAAGGTGAAATTGCTCTGGAGGTAAATGATCATCAGTATATACAAATAATGAGATTGCTTTTAGTTAATTTTCCCACAGAAGGAAAAATGAACGCGGAAATCACCGACCAGATATATCCCGGAGTTTGGGCAACTGATGTTCCAAGACATGCCAAAAATGCCCAGCCGGTGGTAATAATTTGAAAAACAGACACAGAGCAGTAAGAATTAAACAATACCCACTAAAAAAGGAAAATAGGGAAGGGATTCGCCCAATCATAGAACGATTCCTAGAGTTAGGTTTATTAAGAGAATGTGAATCAGAGTTTAATACTCCTATCCTCCCAGTTCAAAAACCAGATGGTACCTATAGGATAGTTCAAGATCTGAGAGCCATTAACAAAATAACGGAAGATCTATACCCCGTGGTTGCTAATCCATATACCCTGTTAACCACCCTGACTCCTGATTTGACTTGGTTTCCAGTTTTAGGTTTAAAAGATGCCTTCTTTTGCCTCCCTCTCCATGAAGCCAGTCAGAAAATTTTTGCTTTTGAATCCCAAGAGTTGTCGAAAGACCCAGCTCACCTGGACGGTGTTGCCATAAGATTTTAAGAACAGCCCTACGATCTTCAGGAACCAACTAGCAAAAACCTGGACCTTATCACGACCAAGACCAGAGAATCCTGCGTTGTCTGGACTGTAAGTTTACTAAATTTTCTTGGGCTTCAGGGGTGTAAGGTACATGTAACATTGCAACAAGTTACATATCTTGGGTATGAAATCAGTGCCGGTCAGCGTTTCCTGGAACAAGCCCAGAAAGAAGCTATATGCCAGACCCCCCCAACCACAGACTGTGAAAGAGCTACAAACTTGCTTAGGAATGATGGGGTGGTGTCGGCTCTGGATATAAAACTATGGCTTGCTTGTTAAACCACTGTATTCTTTAGTAACATCCAGCCAAAAACACCTCCAGTGGGATATAGAGTCGAACCAGGCATTCCACCACCTGAAAAAGGCCCTGATGTCAGCACCAGCATTGGGACTCCCTGATGTGAGTAAACCATTTTTCTTATTTTCCCACGAGAAGCAGGGAATAGCATTAGGGATACTGGCACAGGACCTGAGACCATACAGACGAGCTGTGGCGTACTTCTCCAAACAATTGGATCTCGCCGCAAAAGGATGGCCCAGTTGCCTGAGAGCGGTGGCAGCAGTCATCCTGAATATCCAAGAGGCCCGGAAGTTTACCTTAGGCCAGAAAATGACTGTTTTTGTGTCCCACGCAGTGTCTGCGGTCCTTGAAGCAAAAGGGGGACATTGGCTCTCCCCGCAAAGGTTCCTGAGGTATCAAGCCATCATGATCGAACAGGATGATGTTGAAATTATAACTACTAACATTGTTAACCCAGCTTCGTTTCTTAGTGGGAACACCAGAGAACCAGTGGACCATGACTGTCTCGAAACAATTGAGACTACACACTCCAGCCGCGCTGACCTCAAAGATGCCCCCATAGAGGGGGTAGAACACTGGTTCACAGACGGAAGCAGTTATGTTTTAAGTGGAAAGCGACATTGGGGATACGTCGTCACCACTTCAGAAAAAGTACTAGAATCAGGACCATTATCAGCTGACACCTCAGCACAGAAAGCTGAAATGATAGCCCTGACTCGAGCTCTAGAAAGAGCTCAAGGAAAAGTTGTGAATATTTGGACTGATTCTAAATATGCCTTTGGAGTTGCACACGCCCATGGAGTTTTATGGAAAGAGAGGGGGAATGCTGAATTCCCAAGGAAAAGCTATCAAGCATGCAGAAGAGATTTTAAAACTTTTTAATGCAGTACAACTTCCTGAAAGAGTGGCAATTATGCACATCAGGGCACACCAGAAGGTGAGCACAGAATTGGAAAGAGGAAATGAACTGGCAGATAGACAGGCAAAACAGGCTGCTAGAAAAGAGATAAAGGTAGAAGGGGCACTAGTCCCCAACAGATGCGTCTTTAGAAGGTAAGCCAGAGTATACAAAGGAGGACTGTAAACTCATTACAGATCTAGAAGGATCATATAATGAGGATGGATGGGCCATGACACCACACAGAAAACTTACAGTTCCTTCTTATATGGTTTGGCCATTAGTCTGAGAAGAACACAAGAAAGGCCATTGAGGGGGCAGAAGCATTATACAAATATCTTATCAAAAGTATAGTGGCTCTAAATCTGTATACCACTGTTAGACAAGTAACTCAGCAATGTGATCTCTGCCTCCGGACTAATCCAAAGACCATTGCAAAGCCAGAAATGGGCCAAATTGGGAAGGGGTATGGTCTGGGACAACATTGGCAAATTGATTTCTTGGAACTTCCTAGAAAAGGGAGGTATCGATATTTGTTTGTACTAACTGATACCTTTTTAGGCTGGGCAGAAGCCTTTCCATGTAGAACAGCTAAAGCTCGAGAAGTAACCAAAGCATTACTCCAAGAAATAATACCCAGGTTTGGAGTCCCAGCAGTAATATCCTCAGACAGAGGACCACACTTTATCTCTAAGGTAGTGCAACAAATTAGTCACCATCTAGGAATAAATTGGCAATTACATACTCCATATCGACCACAATTGAGTGGTCGAGAAAATGAATTACTTGATTAAACAACAAATCGCCAAATTGGGACAGGAAACTAATTTGGCTTGGCCCCAATCCCTGCCTCTGGCAATTTTACGAATATGAACTAGACCCAGAGCAAAAGAAGGGCTGAGCCCATTTGAGATTTTATATGGGCGGCCTTATGGAGTACAAAAGGGGGTGTCTTCACAAATTGGTGAAGAGATTATGACTGCCTATCTGGTGGCATTAAGCAAACAACTCAGAAAAATTGAAAAACATGTATTCGGAACTCGAAGCAGAGGTCTAGATGGACCTGTACATGATATACAACCTGGAGATTTTGTATATGTCAAGTCTCTTGCAGAAAAAACTTTGAAACCGCAGTGGGAAGTACTGTTCCATTCCAAGTACTGTTCCATTCCAAGTACTCCTCACCTTCTACACAGCAATCAAGATCAAGGAGCAGAATGCCTGGATTCATCACTCCAGAGTAAAGAAGGCCCATAGATCTCCATGGAAGGTCACACAAGTCCAACCAGGGAAATTACTTTTTTTTTGGTTGGTGCACCAACCAAAAATATAGAGGGCATTTACCAACTTCAAGGAAATGTAGGAGAAAAAATCAAAGTAGGATGCCGAATGATTAATGGAATCACCCATAAAAAGGCATCCCAAATTACTATCTCAATTACTCCCACAAATAAAAGCACAAAGATCTGTGCTTCTAAAGAATTAGACAGTTGGCATAATTTCACACTAGTACAAACCACTGAAGTGGTTTGTCTCTGGGCCGATAGTGCTATTGGACTGTCATTCAAATTTAAAATAAATGCCGTAGCTGGGCCCGTTACAACAATGCCCTCTGCGATAGTTACACATCATAAAAAAGATGTGTCTATCACACAACCTACACCAGCACCTAAGCTCAAACTCAAAATTTATGAAATTGGTCCGTAGGTATTAAGAAACACAGGACAGCAGCAAGTGTTATTCAACCCAGAATGGTCTCTCAAAAGGGGTTGAGTTATCAATGCAAATTAACAATTCAGAAATCCAGCCATTGTGTTCTCCCTTCTTATGAACCTCTTGCGAAGGATAGACTACTTGGCTAAGAAAGAGGAAGGATATTTTTCAAAGACAAAAACCAAAAGACCTGACGGGACTGTTAGGAACAGGGTTGGGAGTTCTGAATACCATAGACTCAGAAGTAATAATGAACAAGCTGGCCGCTTGTTCCTACAGATCTGGCAAAACTGCAATGGCCCTTACAATCCTCCTTATTGACTTTAGGAGCTCATCAGTGGTTAGCATCACAAATCTTACCAGACTGGGAACAAACAAACATAAGAGATCACAATATAATTGTAGACGTGATTGACAGGCTACAAGCCAATGTCTCGCTAGCCCTGAATTGTGTTCAGGCCCAACTATGGATGCAATCAGTAACCACCCCTATTATAAGAAAAGGAGAAGAAGGGATATTTCCCACTGAAATCCGAAAGGTAGTCCGGGATGGTGCCACAAGTAAAGAAAGAGAGCTTCAGTCCAGGTGGAATATGGCAAATTTTACTTATAACCCCACCACGCACACAGTTGCGGCCTTTGTACTAACCATTCATAATGCCCTAATAACTGTGATCCATTCCATCATAGCTTTAGGGATACACCATGACAGAACCCTGCTTTATCCTTTCAAACATAGAACACGGGCCCAAAAGGAAAGAGGCAGATAGCAAACCATAGATCTAGAATCCTGCATTGCACAAGAACAACGAGGATTTCTATGTGACAGTAATACCATACGAGCACAAGATATCTGTCTTGATACTGATCAAAAGGTGTGTCATTTTGAAATTCGCCCTGATGTTGGCTCAGACAATCATAATATATGCAGGGAAAGGTAATGCATGTCTACGAACAAAATGTAGCTCCATATTTGTAGAAGGGATGGAAATAGAAACTAAAAATCATTCAAACTTCTGCATCTGTAATTTCACTCAGATCACGGGATGTGACTTCCATTATTCTGCTCTCGTCACATCCCATCAAATTCTAAAGTCAGACTATACATTGATCTACGAGTTATTACCCACACATATAGAAACAAATTTAACTCTGACAAAGAAATTTCTGCAACATCCTGGTTTAATGCAAATACTGGAAAAATTAGAAATAGCAGACAGAAAACTCTGGTGACAGTTCATTATGATGCAAATGAGATAAGAAAATTGTAAAAAGAGTAGAAAAGGATGGAGAACATAAATGGTAGGAAGCACTTTTTGGATGGTCACCTTCTGCTACAGGACTTTTCAATCATCTAATACATCCTGTTATATACTGTTAATAGCTACAGCTGCTTTAATATTGTTACTAACACGGCTGTACATATGGGTTTGGCGCATGTTTAAAAGGGTATCTTCAAGGCACAAAGCATTATATCGGGAAACTTAACGCAAGTAAAAGAATTTACTTGATTTAATAGAAAAGGGGGGACTGATAGGGGGATAGGTATAGGAGTAGGTATAAGACCATATAAAACTATATTAGCTATTATTTCTATGGATAGTTATAAGAATAGGCCTAAGACTACATAAGACTCTGGAATACATAGCTCTGTGAAATGTTAGAAGTTATCAAATACTAATCCCTGCTTTGAAATACTACCTGAAAAGAAGGCCAGTGAGAGAGACAAAATAAATGATGGCAAGATTGTAACTCGTGATCCATAGGGAGAAAAACAGACAAAGAGGAGAGATAAGGACTAACAAGAACTAACATTTGTCTTCAAACAAAAGAAGTAGGAGACATGCAGATGTCCACTCAAGGCCAGGCCAGGCTGGGAAACGGTTTGGCTCTGCAACCTCAGCTGAAACAGAAATTTTAGGGAAGAAGTGAAAACACACAGTGAGGAAGACCTAACGGCCTTCATCCTGAAGACCCCTGCCCACAACCACCAGGAGGCATGTCGAGGAGGAGCCTGAGATGGATCCTGAGGCGAGGGCTATGGAATAAATGATCTCCAGGGAGAGACTGACCTTTTGGGGAGGGGGTGATGAGTATGTCTGTATAAATACAAGAAAAAACTGCTACGGCGGGTGTGCATGTTTGTGGTGGAGCGATCCCCCGTGCACCCAGCGCTGCAATAAACATACCTACTTTACAACTTTCCAAGTTGTGGACTCTGTTTCCGCACGTCAGCACCACTGTAACTCCTGGATAGAAAATCAGCAAGTTCTGTGCCTGGCAGCATGCCCTCGCCTGTGGATACCAAAAAGCTAGAAGCAGAAATTTTCCAGCTGCTGCAGCATCCTGTGAAAGTTCTTTTTCCCATGCAGGCTAGCTGAGAAACAGTTTGAGGTTTTTGTAAACTAAGACTTTATCTTGCACCTGTAGCTTGTTGTGCAGTCTTGTTTATGGTACACTGGGAAAGTTGTTTTGAAATGGGTGTCGTAGCATTTAGCCAATCACTCTGGGAGGTGGATGGTCAAGTGACCAATAGCCTTGGCCATCCCTGTGAACCATGTTATATATACGGATTTGTAATTAATTAAATGTTGGCATTGGCATTTTGGCATTTTCTCCTGGACCTGAATTCTGTGTCGTTCTTCTGTCCGTCCCTGGCACGACAGTGACATTTGGTGACCCCGACGTGATACAACCGCAACTGAATTTAGAAGGTACGTGCACTCCCCCCGAGGCTCCGGGGACAGAACTCTAGACTGAAAAGACGGGGAAAAGCTCTGTGAAAGAAAGCACGATATTTTCTGCCTTCAAAAATGTTATAATGATTGCGGGAGCTGACATAAGTGATGAAGCTCTCCGTGAATTGCTAAATTGGGCAGCAGAACATGAGTTTGTAGCTGATCCTAACATTGCCCTTAGCCCAGAAGCTTGGAAACTGTTAGAGGATAAGTTCATTCATGAAACCATGTTTGGACATAAGAACGTAACCGACCTGCTACGTACATGGGGGACCCTATATGATATAATGCAGAAGTGGACAGCAGGAAGAGAAGGAAAAGAATTACCGGGCTCTGACGAATCCGAGGGTGAAGGTTCTGAAGGGGACGATGAGTTATCTGAGGGAACACTGACACCGGACAGCACAGGCAGCATATCTGCTGCGTCTCCGCTGCCCTCGGGGACTGAGAGTCTCGTGGGGACTGCGCGGGGGTCCTACCTCTCCCCACGGGATTATGTTCCGCCTAAGTATCCTTCTCCATGCGATTTTGTGATGCTGGAATACCCCTCTCCAGTGGAACAGTTAGCA